AACATCAATGAGGGCAAAACAAAGCTAACTCAGAGAGGTCAATTCCTATTTAGGAAGCATGGATCTCAGTGATGTCAGATAGCCTGTGAGATCTGGTCATGTACTTAACGTTGTCTCCTGTAAGAAAAGCCATCTGAAGAGGAAAAATTGTGCCAATAGCAATGCTGTAGATGAGGGATTGTGTCAGTGCTGGTCTGTGAAGAGTAATCTGAAGTGAGACAGGAAATGAGCTCACAATCAAAATGCTATCTGAATTGCCCAGAAAGAATCTTTCAATACAGAGGTAGAATCAGGATATACAAGAGAAAGATCCCTTTCTGAGGAGTGAAGATACACACTCCAAATCTCAGAGTTTCCAAAGATTTATCATCCATTTTTACACTGAGGACAAAGATGCCAGGTTTGCCTTTTCGAACTTTATTTTGAAATAATCTTTGTAAAAGCATTCAACTCAGATTTTCTGTTTTAGAAAGTATGTTGCAATTATACCTACCACTGATACTGGGGCAGAAAGATGTTGACCTTGAGGACTGTTTTATCTATCATGATCCTTATCTATCATGTATGCTTATTCAAAAGCAGGGGTCCACAAATTCCAGTGGGACTTTCTTCCTGATAATTGTTTATGACTGTGACCTTACAAACCCCCTAGCAGGGCTCAACAGGTAACCTCCAGGTAACCCAGTAACATTCCTAGTGTTTCCATGTATTTAGACTGACCACTAATAGATCGTGTGCAATCTTCCAACAACTTTTAGACCAATCAGGTAAGGAATCTGCTTCTACTCTGCTTATACAAATAAAAATCAAATATTTGTTTACTAGAACTATTCAAATTTGCAACCTTGGAGAACATCTACATCTGAATGAATTAAGAATTAGAATATCTGAATTTAAATTAATGTGAATTCATTTATTTAATCAGTCAAATAATTAATTCAATGTAGTCAGCCTACATTAATTTCATTTTAAAATTAATTGCTTTATTAATGAGAATACTAATAACACTAATTTTAATTAAAATTAAACAGTGGTAATTACATTATATTTTGTTTAAACACATCTTTAATTTTATATGATTAGTAAGTCTCATTATCATACTAAACATGATGCACATGCAATTATAAGCAGGTATCCCTTCTCTACAGGAAGATATATGGATAGGATTTCTAGGAATAAAAGTACACAGTTATTGATGTTTTTACATGCTCACCAACTGAATTAAAGCTGTTATTTTCTACTTTTCTCAAGACCAGTCTACTTGATGCAATCCCATGAAGTATACAGAATATTTGGGCATACACAAGAGTGCTATTCAGTCTCAATTCACACAGAAAGGCAAAAGTCTGAAGAAGAGAATCTCCTATAGTGTAATATTCCAAAGGAGTTTCTTCTTCAGACCATATGCAAACATAAGGAGGGAAACAGGATTAGAGCAAGTCCTCTTCCATATATACTACACGGAAGGAAAATGACTAAAGAGTTAGAGACATAGGCACATCAAATCCTGAGCACTTAAGTCAATGCCACCTCCGGACAAGAGAGATTTAGAAGCTGGAGCAGCCTACCCCAGCCTGATGACCTCCAGATATAGGCTACCAGCCCCATCATTCCCAGACATACAGGTTCATAGGAATGAAGGACTATACAGTCCAACACATCTGGAGGGTATCAGATTGCAGAAAGCTGGGTTGGTGCTGGACTAGGCTCCTCTATGAAACTCCCTGGATGACCTTGAGACAGAGTAATGAGAGAGAAGAACCATGTACCTTGGAGGAAGGGTGACATCTGAAAGCCTCTTGAGTAGCCCTATTATGTTCAGGCAGGGCAATGCAATTAACATGTACAAGAGTGGAGGCTTGTGCAGTGCCCCAACCTACACTTGCCCCACTGCCTGAGTATCTGACCTTTCCATGGTACATAAGTTAGCTGGGATCCAGTGCTGGGCCTTGGACTGCATTATAACTATCCCTGAGACAACAGACATAAAATTAAGTTTGTAAATGTGTCCCTCTATCTGAAGCACCTCAAAACAGTCTACACTATTATTTTCCAGCATGAGAAGCAGAGGCAGATCATTTAGCAGAGGCCTGAAAATTCTGGATACTGAAATTAATGGGGTGGGGTGGTTAGCATATTTCAGAGCAATGCAAATGCAAGCTCACCGACAGTATAGGCTTAGAACAGCTCATATTTTATCTAATATGGGATAAGGGCAACATCTCAGTGGTACAGTACGAGTTTTGCATGCAACCTTCCTATGGATCAAGTCGACATCTCCAGGTAGGTTGTCAGTTCAGAGCAGGAGTAATGATCTGTGGCCTTGTAGATCATGTTAGATTTCAGTGCCCATCATCCCTCAACACTGGCTTCACTGACTGTGACTAATGTGAAATGGAAGGTGGTTGAGGCCTCATCAGCGAAGGGGTTCAAGGAAAGATTGGACAACCACATGCTACATGAGCAGAGCCAGCTGGAGGCCTTGGAGGCCCCTTCTGACTCACTTTGTTTCTATTTCAAGGGTGACTGGTTGCCCACCCATTATAGACAATGCTGAGTTAAATGGATCAGTAGTCAGTGTCTGTAACATGGCACATTCCTACATTCTACTTAAACTGAAGCAGTTCTCTTTAGAACCCCTTTGGCATGCATCTACAAGAGCAGAGAACTCACTTACGTGGTGGAACTAATTTCAAGCTGCTCAAGTGTGGGTGTTCCAAGACCACATTTCTAGGAAGAATGTGAGGTGGGAATGGTGCTAATCTTGGTTTAGCAAGGAGGGCAATGCATGCCTAGTCTGCAGCTCCTTACAACATGTCTGGGTGTTTGCAAAGTTGCCAACGGAATTGCACCTATGCGTTTGTCAATGATTAACATATCTTGTTGATGGAGTAGAACAGAACAGGTTTGGGAAAGGAATAACCTGTCAGAAATGGCTTACTAGCCACTACTAGAAGAAATCATTCTCTAGTTCTTCTGCTAATCCCATGAGTGTTGCTGTTTCAGATTATTTTCCCAAGGATGTCCAGGCTGGTCATCAATTACTGTTTATTAATTCAGAGATTCGAGTTCTCTCCACCATTAGGAAAAACAGACAATTTCCATAGTAAAATCTATAGGAAATTCAAGATTCAGCTAACCAACATGCAATATTCATCAACACACAGCAAGTCACTTTAGCTAAAAGGGGAAACTGGGTGACATCGGAAGCCAAGAAAACAACACTAGAGATACAGCATCAACATTAATCATAAAGTCATCACTGTAACTGACAGCTGGAAAACAGGAAATAAAAATGGAACATGGTGAAACTTCAAGAACACACATTGCTCAAGCAGACTCATTCCTCAAAGATTTCTATCACCAAACAAGTTTCTGCTGCCTTATTTGCAGTTTGCTCAAACTGGAGATGTCAAGCATGAGGCAGCATAAGTTATATACAGCACCACATTTCCCCTAGGCATATAATGCTCTGGTTTCTCATCCCTTGAGACTGAGGGGAGAATCTTCAACACATGAACAAGAATGCAAAATGACTAGGTAGCTCCAGAGTTCCCAGTTAGCTCCGGGACAGAGAATAGCCTGGCTCACTGAATCGCCTTACCTATGTAGAAGTGTTTATACCACACCATTATTTTACCATCTCAGTCTTTAGAGAAGTTATGCTTCTATCCTTTTAGAACTCTGTAAGTCTTCCTGGGCTAGGCTGCCTTAATATATTTGCACAGTGCATCAAACACAGTCTTTCTGTATTTTTACGTCCAATCAACAATGACTTAATTGATGGATTGGAAGCTCAGGGATTTTAGTCCATACGTTGTATAAAACAATAGCACAGATAGGGGCTCAGCAGAGCCCAGGACTTTCATCCATCCATTGCACTTGATCAGGTGTGGGCAGAAAGAAGACCTCCAGGTGTCAACTCCCAGCTTCCTGACTATTGGCCATGCTAGCTAGGTCTTTTGGGAGTTGTAGTCCAAAACATACAGAGATATACCTTCTGTCCACTCAAGACTAGACTAAGGTATTTTAAAATCTAAATCCTCCTATGCATAACATTTTGTACCGTTTTGCAGAATTTCATTGTGTAGACCAGTGCGGAGAATCTATTGTTGCATTTTCTTTAATGCAAAGTGAATGCACTGACAGAATTCAAAAGCATCCAGACAAGGCTGCGCCCTTCAAATAGGCAGATGCAGAGGTTAACAGTTTCATCACACTCTAATAAGTTCTCTTCTGTTTTAAAAGAGAAAGACGACAAGTGTCTAACAGGGCAATCCAGGGGATGACAGCTCCTATTCAGCCAGAAACAGGTAAAAAGCAGCTCAGGGCAGCATAACATCTGGCAAAAGCAATGATGCAAGTTCACAGAAATATACTGTCACTCCTTCCTGCAGAGCAGTCCAGCCATCTGGAATGCTTGTGGGTGAAAGGGCAGAAGAGACAGGCATAATAGCAAAATTCAAATAGATACTCTGGAGACACAGAAGCTAGAAGAGGCGGTTTATTTCTACTTGGTCAGAATTGGGCCATAGCAAAAGCAAAAAATACAGAATGCTGCATATTGACATCATATGCAATCCCTTACTCAAGAGTTAGCCCCATTAATGCAATCATGCACAGGATTGCAATGTAAGCAATTAAGAGTCATATTCAAAGATGTCCTCCAGCCATGAATTCTTGTTTCCACCTACAGTTTCCCAAATCTGATATACTGGGATCCTCTGGAGAACATCTGGGGGTGCAGCAAAAAGGAAAATCCACTCATAATGTTGAACATTACTGAGTGCACAAGAACAGACTGATAACAGCAATGAGGATAAGAATACTGCTTTAACTCCAATGAGTCAGTGTTTAATTGGAAACCTCAGTAGAGGGGTTCAGAAGATGGAGAAATAGGTGGCTGTCATTTCAGAAGGCATGTAATATGTCTTTATGATTTATTAAACAGAATTTACATTAATACTGTCTGTGGAAAATAGCATAGAAAACGCCAAAGGGATAGTTAGCATATTTTAATACCAACACGAATCTTATCAGATTTCAGGGCAGTGTACACAATTGAACAGATATAACATTTCAGAACAAAAGATATATTAACAAAACAAACTTCATTTAAGATACGTAAAATCTAATACAATGTCTGTGGTTAAAAAAAGCAGCAGCACTTTTGGGCTAGCACCTAATGTTGATGCCAGCCAAACTTCTTGGGAAGGTAATTCCATAAAAAGGGAACCACAGCTGACAAAGCTCCCACCACTGTAGAGGATCTTCATACTCCCAATGGAAGAGGTCCATTGACAATGATCTCAGCAGATAATCTTAAGGAGCTGGCAGGTTGTTCAAGGTATAGGCACTCCCTGCTTTTTCAGGGTGAAAACAATCCATCCAGAAAAAGTTCACCACATTCTTTCCAGACACAACTACTATCTATTCACCATATGCCAATCTTGTCAGGATTCAATTTCAGTTTATTAACAATCACCCTGCACACTACTAAATCCAGTACAATTTTGCATTTCCACAAGCTCAGTTGACTCAGATAAGGAAACACATAGCTCAGTATCATAAATGAAATAACACAATTCCAAATCCCTGGGAGAAAAACTCGTCCAAGTATTATGCCTGAATAGGAAATAAACTGTATGGGACTGTGGATACCACAACTGCTAACAATACTCATACATGATACTCCCCTCACAGTTCTCAGCCTTTCTCACATTAAACATGAAGGTTTAAAGGCGGCCTCTATACATATTTGCCTGAATACAAGGATTCCTCTATGTGTTTGGGAGCCTTGGTAAAGCAGGATTTGCCACTGTAGACGGTTCTAAACATTCAAACAAATCTAAGCAGAAGACCTCTTTAGGCTTTCCTAATGTGGACTTGCATGGGACCACTGGGGACTGCGATATTAGGGTGATGTAGGGATGGCATGCACAGGACTCTGTCCTCTACATGGGCTGATATTTCCTGTTGGTACATAATGCTGCAACAGGATTAGCTTATCCTTCTGTTAAGATATCCATGTTTATACTTATCAGTCCAGTGTATTACAATGAAAACTAAGTCAGACATTTGCATGCATAGTACAGGACAAAATCTCTAAATGGAATCTAGAATTTTAAGCCCATTATGATTTCAAAAGTATAAGGCCCTCCCAAACCCCAATGGAACCTTCAAAAAAGTTCAGCTTGGTAATCTGTACTAAACACATCCTCGAGAACTGCTATTCAAGAACTTCAGTGATTCCATGAAGGTAACTGTAAGTACTTAAATGCTTCAACTGTAAACCTTTGATGTTTCTACTAAAAACAATGCCATCATCTAGGTTATCCTGTGCGATAGCCTGTACTGAAATACTCATTTTAGTGCCTCCAGATTTCTCAGTTAAGATGAAAACTGTGAATGCTGCAAAGCTTGCTTGCATACAAAGAGACAAGTTTTTGTGTATAACTGGTGCCATCTAGCTGTGGCACTTGAAATACTTGAAGCAAAAACCTTTCCCTACAAAATAGCAGACTATCTCTACACTTTTCTTTGTTACCATTTAGCTATAAGATGCTATGATACAGTAAAAGTAGTGTTCTGAGCTTGAAGTGTTCGTATAAACATCTACTGAAACAGAGGGCTGGAAATGATGTTTATGCCCTTATATTGCACTGGTTTATATAGTTCATTCAGAAGGAGCTCTGAAAAGGGATCTCTCCCACCAAAGAACAACTGAAGTAATTTTCACTGAAATTTAGTTCAGACCTCCTCTACAGTCCCTCTAGCATCCCAACTTGATTATGTCCACTTGATCCCTATTCAAAGCAACAGAATGTTGAGTTGCTCATTGTCAAGCAGTAATCTTTGATAAATGCCTCTTACCTTTTACACAAAAATAGGTATTTCCTCAGCTAGCATTTGTTAGTTTCTATTTTACATCTTCTAAAAAAAATCCAAGTTAACAATTCCCTACAAAATTATACTGCCTTTATTTGCATAAGAATAATGATAAACAAAACACGGTCAATTTAATTGTATAAAAATATTGCAATAACATGCTCTGATTAAGTCCATAGGGCAGCCAGCTGTGCAGATCTTCACCTCTCATTGAAACATGTTCAGAGGAAAAATACAGCAGGTGTACAAAGTAAACAAGTGGCTTTTTTTGGAGCAGAACATACATCCATAAATGAAGACAAATTGTTTCAGCTACCCATTTTGTGTTCCTAGTCAAGATCAACCAAATGTAATCATGTGAATTCATTTTAATTCACATGTCTGGGGTTTCTGCACAGAGTATCAACACAAGTGGCTGTAAGGCTACTACCCAAGAGTACAGCAAAACTGTAGTGGCAGCCACCGCCACCACTTCCATTCATATTGCAGTAAACATGAAGTTAAACATGTTAAACAGTCAAAGCACATTTCATAGTTACAGGCAAGGAAAGTATTCCAATGTATTAGAAGGCACACTAGCTATTAGTACCAAGTTACTTAGTACTGAGCCACAAATGAATTTTCAAGTCTAAAAGGGTATTTGAGTAATGTTGTTTATTATCCAAAGTTTCGTTCCGATAGTCATTATGAGCATGTCAGTACAGAGTATCGCCTTGGTCATCACAATGGTCAAACCCACACCAACCTTCAGAAAAGGTAGCTGTAAAACCACTTTGTTTGGTGCAATAGGAAGGCTGAAAGGAACATTTGTGAATATGAAGTTGATGTGCAGAGTTCTGAAGTCTGCCAGAGGAAAGGTTCTTAGGATTTGGGGGTGCTGCTTTTGCTAGAAATCTTGTCACGTTCTCTCTCCATGATGCTCTGTTTCAACAATTGCTGATGTAACCCGATAGAATTTTTAGCCCACTGTTCCTCCAAGTAACTCAATGTTGCATACATGCCCCCCTCCTTTCTTTTAGCCTCACAAGCACCTCATGAGTTTCATTTGTGGGGTTTTGAGCCCCCACTCTGTGGCCAGAGTTCAACACTAACCACATCAGCTCTTACAAACCACAAGCAACAATATAGTCCCTCTTGTTTCTGTTGAAAGCATACAGTGTAGCCCATTTCACAACACAACAACCAATTACTTTCTCACAAAATATTCTCACTGTGGCTCAGTAATTAAGCTTTACATCTAAGATTGAGATTATGATTTAAATAACTCCTTCTAAAGGACCACATAACTCCAGCCTGATCATACTGTGGGGCAGTATTGCATTTAATTCACTTCCAACCTTTTATTTTAAACCATTACAGAAAAATATAAAGTAGTGGGCCAACTAGGCCTAGAAAGTCACCCACAAAACAAGACAATTTCAAAAGGGCTCTTTGTGAGTTACTCTTAAAAACTTAAAGAGTACTCAATAATCAAGCAGTTGTTCAAACAAGTAACAAGTTCCTTTAGATGCTATTCAAATGTCACACAATTGGCCTGCATTCATTTTGTCGTTCGTTATGGACAAAATAATATGTAGTTTTAAGGTATAAAATGTCACTCCAAGTTAAGTAGCTTTGTCTTTATGAACTCAAAATAACTTAAACTGTAAGAATCTCTAAGGACCTAAAATTGGCAACAAGAGTACCTTGTTCATATCAGTCCAAATGCAAAAGTCACAAGCTTATATAATATTTAGATGCTATTCTGTGTAAAGCCTACATACAGTAGGCAATATGGAGCTCCAGTGAGGACTGAATGCCATTATGGTGAAGAGAAGCCTACATAAGGAAAGCCTAAAGTACAAAGGTCCAGATTGGGGTACAATAATTATACCAAACTTTTTTAGGGGTAACAAACGCACAGATAGTATGTGTAGCCCTATTCTACTAGAACATCCATTGCATGGAGAACAGACAGACTTCAGGTACATGTGATCTTGATCCCTGATGATTAGCTGATTCTATAAAGAACAACATCTGAATACAGTTTAAAGAAAAAAGAATACAGTTCTTGCTTTAGGGAAGCCTTATCAACAACTTGTACCAGGATTAGAAGTTTTCTTAACAGCCTAACATAATTGTACAATAAAACTTCTTGACTTCAGAATTGGCACTGTGCTACACAAGGTATACAGTTCAGCTTAGGGTTAATAAATAGATTGTTGGCCTAGGAATAACCAAAAGTTATTTGCTTCTTCTCACGTAGTTCATTCATCAAACTCTGAGCAATGATGGCTGTTTGGACACAGTGCAAACTGCATGTTAATATTCATACTGCATAAGTACTTGAGAAATTTTGTTTGGATTAACTTGCAATCATTTTTTCCTTTGTCATGTTCCTTCTCTGTTAAAAAAAATATGCATCTGAATATCTACCACCTCCCTGTAGAATTTGACTATGATTAAGCTGCAGAATCCCCCAAAGTGCTACAGCTATGCTATGAAAGTCCTAATAACCATCTGAATCTGTTTCTTACACACAGGGCAAGGTAATCGACCCTTTTTTAACATTTTTGCACATGTGAAGCAGGCCACTAGGTGAGCTGTCTTTCCATGAACAATATTCCCATTCCGTGGTTTCTTCTGGCACATAAGGCAAGGCTTCAGCAATTGTTTGCTACTCTCAAGGGACTGCACCACTTCTTCCTTTTCTTTGCACTTACCAAACTGCAACGAAGGCTCTCTGCCTTCACATCCCTGTGCCAGATCCAGGGAGTTCATGGTGCTTTTAGGGCTTAGGCTGGATTTGACTTCTGCTCCACACAGGTCTTTGGGTCGTACAATTGGAGCAGAAACTGTCCTTCGGCAGTCTGGGACATCCATCCCTTCTGTATCCTCTTTATTTTGCATTGTGGCAATATTGGAAGTGGAGAGAGAATGTGCTAGCTTAGGACAGTCAGAGAACCAGTCTTTTCGTAAGGCCCAGCAGCGAAAACAGTACCGTTTAATGGGTGAGTTGAACATCTTGCACTTGGTACACTGCCAACAGTCCTGATGAGTGAAAGAGGCCATCAAACCAGTCACAGGTTAGTGGATTCACATACTGTCCCTCTCCTTTCATAAACCATTCGTGCTGAAGCTCACCCTCATTATCCATTCCCAGATATCTCTGGGGGAAAGCATTTCTTATTCTGTTCACTATATTGAAGTCTCAATGCTCCATTCTAAATTCAAGGGTAGGTAACTCTTTGAGTCAGTCAGGAGCATATTTTTCAGGCTCTATAATTATATAATATCTGTTGAATCTACACAATTGATGGTGGCTTACTTGATTATCTTATATACCAAGGGCAATGGCTTTTTGAGTTTAGAGTTATAATTCAGTTGTCCGGTGCCAGGGACAGCCCAATTTGTCAAGCTGGCACTTACACTAAACCAAACTAAAAAGAATCAAAGCTTGATTCTGCAATCTAGGAGAAACAAAGTGCACATTTCTATTGCAGAGCAAAACCAGAAAAGAAAAATGGCGCACAGAATAATGGAAGCAAGTGAGATGGACTGAAAATGTTCTTGCAGAGGGATTTAAGGACTTTTTTCAGAAGCTAACTAGAACATTGCCACATTAATACAGACCATTCTATTTTCCCTACAGATTTGATTCATTTCAAGGACCAAAACTACAAACCATCGTGCTGATCCATCCCGATCGTGAATGCATTTTTAAAAAAGAAACCTTTCACAAAATGATTTATGAGATTATATTAGAACTGCCCAGTCTATCCCACAGTGAAAACATTAAAGGAATCAGAAAATTTACATTCAGATCCCTCCCTTAAATAAGTAAATGCTAAATTTGACACAATGGTGGTAAGAATTTGTTTCATCTCCCATGTCCACTCCATTCATTTAAAGAGTGGGGCTAAAGTATCTTGGTTAAAGGAGTGCATAGGTGAAAGGTACTGAACATGCTCACCTCCCAGCCTACTGCTCCATCCATTTCTCTTCATTCCTGGTTCACTTCCAGTACAGAAGGATAACCCAGGACTGTACAGAAAGCAACCCTCCCTTCCCCAGCACCCCACCAAGATTTCTACTTTTTAAATGAGCAAGTAGGCATATGAATGACAGCCCTATCCTATCTAATTTGTTCCTCAGGCAGTAGCCCTGATATTTACCAGAAAGAAAACTAAAAATGTAAAAGCCTTGATCCTCAGCTGATAGTAAGCCTAAACATATACACGTCTTGGTCAGTTGCTGAACCAAGGCCTCTAAAATAACTGGGTTCAAAGCCATAAGGACCCCAATCTAAAGCAAGCTGGCCTTAAGGGACCCTGAACTAAGGATGAATGGCAGAATAGATACAGAAAGCTGAAAGGCTGCAACTAAGTTGACTGACTACTGGACTATGGAGACCATTATTGTCAGAGTTTTGTAAACCTTAACAATGAGGAAATGTATCCTGTAACAAGCCTTTGAGGACACTCATGTGTTTATGTAGACAATGACCATGAAAGTTAATGCCAGAATAAGTTTGCTAGTCTTAAAAGTGCCAGAACACTTTGCTGTTTAACACATCACTGTACATTTTCTTTAACTTAAATCAGTAAATGGCTACTCATATGCTGACAAGATGACTAATTACTACCAGTTCAGATGGTCTAATAAGGAACAAATTAATCTGACACCTTGTTCTTTTTAAAAACACATCAACAAAAAGAGATGGTATATTTTGTTGCTTAAGTATTAAAAGAAATACACTAATAATAAACTGAATAAAATATACTTCAAACCTCAAATCATGAACATAATGAGCAAATTAGGTATAATAAGCTCCAAGCAGACATACCTCAGTGGGAGTATCTACATCTGTGTCATCACTTAAACACTGTGAATCCTCAAAATCATCAGAAGATGCAAATTCATTTGCCTGCAATATATACATCAAAAAAGGCACATGCATGCTATGACAATATCTTGAAAATATAACACATCCAGCCTCAGGTTTCTGGGAAGTGTTTGGAATTTATATCAAACAACATTTCCTACAGTTCCATCTGTTCTGGCAATTCACTCTGCATTGCAAAGGCAAGCTACAGTCTTTATACATCCATTATTGTTCACGCAGTGTTCTGGTGTTCTCATAACAACCAACCATGATGTAAGCAACCCATGGGTTATTGTGCATGAGCATGAGAGTAGTCAGCCTCCTACACTTCAGCTTTTACTCAACAAGCCATGATCTGCTCCTTTGTTTAGTGTGCTGACAAACCCTACACCAATGGGTTGCTTTGGGGCTAAACAACCTAGAAGTTCTCATGATTTATTGTTCAGCTCCTAAACAAACAGCCTGGGTTTGGGCATCATGTTCAACCTACAAAGGAGTCAATCATCTGCTGCTGATTGAAACTGAAATGGCTGGCACACTGTAGGCCATTTTAACTTTGGTCCCTAAGAGTTCATAGTTACTTTTACCCATAGGCTGTTGTCACATGTGAACTTTTCCACAGTGTACATGTTCTGGAATGATGCAGCCAACTGCAAGTACATACAAACTAAAGGAATCACCATCTCACACAATTTTCTTGCATCTCCCATATCAGTACTCCTGTTACTAAGCCGGAGTCTGAGAGCTGCTTCAGGCACCTCCACAATATAAAGCAAGTCCTTGACCCAGGAAAAATATCTGCAGAGTAATCTATATGATTTAATCTTCCCATATACATGTGACCAATTCATCATTAGTTTAACACTTTTAGTGAACATTTTCTTCCTCATAACTGCATATCATGATTATCCCAATTTTATAGGGACAAAAGTAACTTGGCAAAGATAATATGACAAGTCCATCTTGCCCACAGGTGAAAACTGTTACATTATTTGCTGGTCTATGATATGGTTCCCAGATTTTGGCAAGCTATAAAGCAAATTAGATACAAGATCTCTCATGTAACTAGTAGTCATGTGAGTACATTAATACTGAAGAGAAAGCTGATTATAATTTTTAATGCAAGTTATTCTTAACATATTGAATCCTTGGAAAGCTAGACCTGAATTCCAGCTGATTAGTGCAAGAATACAGAACAGGTTCTTTAGGACATCATAGCATGGAATGAGTAACAAAGAAACTGTCCCTAACCATGCAAGAGGAGGATCCATGCTTATTAGGCCAAATGATCAGCAACCAATTCAGCCTTAGAGCTTACCATTTTGCTATACTCTTTTTCATCTTCATTAGCTTGCTCACAATCAAAAGTTTTTGTAGGGACTGTGACTTCCAACTGATCAGAAGCAGCTTCATTGAGAAACCATAAGTCATCAGTTGTATCTGAAACAATGGCAGTATCTACATCCTAAAGAAAAATGGGAAGATCGATCTGCAAAACCTACTTTTATTATACTCAGTATTAAGTGCAGATACAACATTTGATCAAACAAGACTTCTTATCAAACCAGACACAATGAGCAGTAAATTGTCATCTTTCTAGTTCTCATCAACACTGCTATCCTGACACTTTCTGCAACATGTTCTGAGTGGGTTTACTCCAGACCTTGACCATTAATTTAACCAAAAATTCTTCAGTGAACCCAAACACTTATACATATTTAAGTATTTTTTTGGACTGTATGCTCCCAAGTACTTCACTTTCCAAAAGGAAAAGGTAAATCTTCATATACAAAACTAACCAACTGTGAGAGGAGGGAAGAGTAATTTCCCCCAACTTCCTATTTCCTGCTATCCAAAGTTTGTGCATCTTCAAAGTGTCAAGTCAAAACAATTACACCTATACTCTCTGCTCCTTGGACTAATGACTTGCCCAATTATCCTAAACTATTTTGTTTCATTTTATTATTTCTGAAAGGCTTTTCTCCTTCCCTGAAAGCTTTCAAAAAAGGAAAGCTTTATACCAGAAGGGACATTGGGGGAAACTTGGGGGAAAAATTCCACTGGGAGGCATGCTGATGGTTGAGTGCAGCTGAAGACAAAAGCCTTTCATAGCACTCTGCGCTACCCCACATGGAATTAGGCCAAAAGGCACTGTTCCCATACCCCATGTTAATACATATACATCAAGAAAGTTCTGTCGCCTAGCATTTACCTGATTAGTATGTATATCTGTTGAGCCATTACTTCTAGACTTGTAATTATTTCTCAGATTCCCCAAAAACCACCATGGAAGACCAGCTACATCCCACTCTTCAAGCACCAGATCCAGTGTGGCTTGCTCTTTTGAAAGATTATCTAACAAAATTATATCTGTAGGAGCCAAGTAAATTTCACGTTAGAATATGCTTCCGATTCTGAATTGACAAAATCCCACACAAAGTTCCTTCTTGGATCAATAGCCTTCTGTTAAACTAAAAGCATGTCTGAGGTAGAGTAGGGGATATAGTCTGCTCCCCAGCCAGACCTTAAACATTGTATTAAATAATTTCATGCCTTAATATAGACCACTCTCTGCATGTGTTATATGTCAAACAAATTCACTTTTGTTCCCAAGCAATATCATTTTAACAAGGAGAATAATAGGATCATCTCAATGAATTATTGACTGGCTGTTTTTTAATAAATTTTCCACCATAAATTCAATTATGATTAATATTCTATCTTCTGAACAAGTAATCAGTGACTTCACAAGCTAGAAGACTATTCTAGAAGCATGGAATGAAGCCATGCTTGCAACCTCCAGTTATAAAAGCTGAATATTTAAGTTTTTGAACCTATATACAGAGTGCTAAAATCTTTCCTTGTATAAATAATATTCTTTAAGAAGATAGTTTTGAAAAATGAGGCTGTCGAGATGGAATAAAGACTGAAATTAAATGGGAACCTTACAAGTCTAACAATGTGCCTACAGTAAGAGCATATGATGGACATATACATATTTCATACCAGATAAGAATTTTCACATCCAAAGAGTGGTATCAGATACTTTTTCACCAGTACCTTGTTTTAAGGAAGAGTGTACAAAATACAGCCTTTATTTTCTACATGCACCAATAAAACATTGAGGCAGGCAGGCAATACTTGTTTCTTTTTTTAAAATACCCTATAGAGTGGTCCAAAGTATTTGATATCAGTGCTCAATGACAAGATTTTTGTTTGTGTAAAGATTCAAAGGATCATGAATACCTGGTAAAGACAGCAGATTCTGCCCTAAGTCACACTTTGGAAGATTAATTCCAAAGTTCCTTTTTCCTTTTTTAATTTAGTGCAAAAGCATCCTGCTCGAACCCACCGTGATCTGTCTCAGGACAGAATTTCCCTCTCCAAAAAACTTTGAAATGAGGCACTGCCTGCCCAGCAAAATACCACCCTGTCTTACCACAAGTCAGCAATGCTATGGAATTCATCCCTGCTTACAGGACACACATTTCTACTGGACAGACAAAAAGGCTCTAATGAGAAGCAAAAATCTCTTGGTTATAAGAGCTGATCAGAGAGAAATGCAGCTCATTCTAGGTGCTTCTCGACCAGTGCATATATGCTAAACTTCTATGTATAACCATGCATCACAGAAATGATAATGAAATAAAGAACCAAATACAGCAAAAATAAAGAGCAGCAAAATCTTGGTTCAAAAATGAGTCAGTAAGAAACAGTGTTGCACACATGCTTTACTATGTTCAGTCCATACATTGTACTTACCTTCATCCTCATTGCTTGCATACTTTGAGGTAGACAAAGTAGATGTGTCACCTTCATCTCCTACTTGCCCAGTTCCAAAGCTTCTCTCTGTGCTACTCTGCTTAAAGGAAGAAGGAAAGATAACCATTAGTGCATGAGATCGTAGAGAGGCATAGGGATGCAACACTTCTTTTCTGAGTCACCAGCTGCAGAGCAACACCAAGGACTTATAAAAGGAACAACGGTTTGACCAAACAAAGAACATTTCTCAACTGACCAAGAAGATTGTTAGCAATCAAGTAGTGCATAAGTAAATCTTACAACAAAACCAAAAAAGTCAATAAAAGTTTCTAAGTGCTGCACTCTACTAACAGTAAACTTGTTAACTTCTTCCCAAATCATGTAGATCTGTCTCAAGCTAAACTAACGTTATACAACAATGTGGGCATTGGAAACTTTTTAAAAATGCAACTAAGCAATTCTTACATGTTCTCACTTCAAAAAATCTCACCCAGGAATATGAAAACAATGCAAGCTGGTACGACTTAGAAGAAGTGTTTCACCCCAGGAAACAGATTCAGAGAATGGAACTCTGTTAGGTAGAGAACAGAGAATGTTCACTCTGTCCCTGGTCTGTGGATTCCCAAAACTTCTGAGGAAGGCAAAAGCCCTCACTCAAGCAAGTCAGAAGTTCTGACAATCCACTATGCACAGGTACAGAGAAGGGGCACTCTGTACGACAAAAGAAACCACCCAGCAGTGGGTTTACCTTCAGTTGATCTTGGCTTGGATTATCCACACTCTGATCCTTTGCGAGAGCAAGTGTCTGTGCAGCATCTAGACAGCAGGTAAAAAAAGAAAAAACCTTCCCTGGTAATAACCATTCTTACAACAGAGAGGGGTCCCTTGAAAAGCAACTACATCCAATTTTGGCACCTGTGAGGTTGAACGTGTAAAAAGCTGGAGTATAGTCTTCTTGGTCAACACTGCTCCATTATCTAGGTCATTCATACTTAAAGACTGCAATATATGTCTCCAATTCTTTACCACCCTGAAATGGTCATACTCTGACCTCCTAAACAGCAATCTATGCCATTTCCTACTAGCATCTTCAGAGAAACTGACCAAAGATCAAGCTAGCTGTGATATTTGTCATGCAATTCACCCTTGTGTGGCTGAGTTTTGTTTTGTGTTGTTTTTATTAAACGTAGCTAGTGTACAAAAATGCCGAATTAACATGCAATTCCAGTTAAAATTAACACATCAACTCAATGAGTGGAAGTTTTCTTCCCAAAGCAAATAACAGGCCCACAGAAAGTAAGTGTGCTGCCTTGACTGGGGCAAGGGATTAACACTCGCTCTTCTGACAAGATGGATGTGGTATAGCTCCTATGCCTTTTAATAGCTATGTAAGGGTCAACTATATCACATCCAGGTGAATGAATTGTTTAATTTCAGTCACAGACTAAAGAGAAATAGTGAAATAAATCATAAAACAAAATGCATAATATATAAACCCTAACCCAATAAAGTCATTACAATAGCTGCATACTTGAGATAATCAAAGAGTATACCAGGAGAGTGACCTAAACTTAAGTTTACAATTAAAGCCTACTAATTTCAATTTATGTAAATATATAGTAGCTGCACAGAAGCTTGCTACTTTTATAGTGACCTTCGAATCATGCTATGACAAAAAGTATATTAAATATTGTTCATTCACGCTTCAAAAACCACTGTATAATATATACAAGTGATGCATAATACAACATGCTCTAACATTTTCACTTCACCAACCCTACAAATGCATACTCATTCATGATATGGTTTCCTTCTGAATCTTCCTTCCAATAAAAGCAGGGCATAATACAGTACATTAAATCTTGCCTAAGAAACAGTTGTCCTAAATTTAGGGATATGCAAATCAGACAAGTATTCCTCAAGGGAAAAATGTCCTCCCATTATCTCTATATTTGGGATATTTTAAAGCACTACTTACATGATTTTGTAGCTCTAATTCCTAAATATATTATTCAATTACCATTGTAGCCTTTCCTATCCTAATAAACTGCTGGGGTGTGAACTAAAGATTTCTCAATTTCTTATGAAACATAATTTTCTCTTTCATTTAATGTCAGCAGGGCCAAGCCCACTGGAAGGGGTTGGGAATCTGTTTTAGTGGTAGTGGATCTTAAGAATCCGTGTAGAGGCCTCCACAGGAACTTGCTGTCTCTAAATTTATGTACACATTGCAAACAAAACTCAGAATTCCCAACTTTATATACAAATCTTAGGCAACGTATCTTGAAACTGAGCATAACTTTCAATACACAGAGAGCTGAGATGCATATAGCATTTGAGAAATAACCTTGGCCTAAAAAACTTGGGTGACCAATGGAATGCAATAGCTGCCCTTCAAATAAAGAAGTTTAAGAATACCTCAATACCACTTTGGGTACTTTTAATGGCATAGTTAGTGTGTAAGCTGAGTCAGAAGAGTAAAGAAAAGTCATTATCTGCAGAATGTAGTTTCTTCAGTGAGCATATTGAGCATCCACTCATACTTTTATTTTCTTTGAGAAAGCCCTAACCATCTAATTTTTAATCTTCAAAAGTACTATAGGTTCCACTGCATTATGAAGAAATTGAACAGGAACTAATTTTTAGCTGCTAAATTCCAATCCCACTTCCAGCTGAGATACAGATGCAATGTGGGATACATTGACTAGTTTAAGCAACCACCACAGGTAGATGGACCATTGCCCATTGATATCTACTAGTACTCATCAAATAAACCAAATTAAGTCCTTTCACTGCTGCACAAAGAGGCCACTTTCCAGGTACATGTCAGGAACAGAGTGAGTGCTGGTCTCACCCTGCACAGAGGCACATTTAAAGGTAGCATATACTTTCTCATAGCCAGCCACTTCATGGTGTGTAAGACAAGACCCAAACAAAGGAGAAAATGTTTTTAATAGGTAATATTTTCTGAATAAATACAACATCATGTTGCATAAATTCAAAAGTCTGCTAGAAGTGACAGTTCAGATATTTGTCATGAGTGATTTGTCTCTCTTCCAACAGCTGCTGAAGGAAGAGAAAGACATGAGCTGGTAGCAGAAGAATAGAAAAGGGGTGACCCCACTCATTTTAGCTTTGCTAACACCTGCTGCCAGCACATGGTTCAAGAACTTGGCCTCTACTTTCCTTAATACAATTCCAAAAAACAGAAAGCCTGAAAATTAAGCTAAGGACAAGTAAAGAGAAGCTCATAAAACAATCTTCCTTGAAGTATACACAGAAATCCCTATCTCATTCTTCAGTCAGAAACAGCTAAGAAATGAAATAAATATAATACACGGCTCTGAGCGGATATATAGAAATTAGATTTCCACCCTGGAGAAGACACATACCCTGGAATACCTGAAGGGCAATATACATTATATTTTGTCTTCAGCACATGCATTGCAAAGCTTAATTGGGGCAATTTTCTAGTACAGGAAACAAAAATATGAAAGTCCAAATTTACCACCTAATTTAAAAAACACATATACATGCCAACCACTTTTAAAAAGTGGTAGAGTTGTTTCCTCTTCAAACATGCAACCTGCATTGTCTTTGCAGTTGAGTTTCGAATAATATAACACTCTTTACTTTTACCAGAAAAGAGCTTCAATTAGTTTTTTGAAATTAATTTGTTTAATCAAACATCATTCCATCATTGGTCACTATTCATTGGGCATTCCGTCTACCAACCTTTCTACCAAACTATTTTCTATGGTATAAGTAAGCTAATACAAATTCATACCCTGTTTACACCAACCCTGTTCTGGTCCATAAAGTTGCTAGTTCTATTTAGATGGGGTTAAAATGGAGAAGTTTGCAGGATTATCCACTCAAAGGAGTTCAGCTGTAGTTTAACAATTAACCTAAAAGAGATACTCTTACACTGAAATTCTGCAACACGGGGTAAAACATGCAGCTTGCAGCAGACATGCAGCCCCCTAGAAGCTAACTTTGTGTTCTCCACCAAAATTTATGGCAGAAAAAAACCCAGCAGTTTGCCACCAGATTTCATAATCAAACCATTCTGGAAGGCTAGAACAGCAAAATCCACTTTGTTTGCAAGATAAATGCGGCCATTTTTGCCTTCTCTACTGTTTTGCTGCCAAATTGTGAAGGAAACCACCATGTTTATGGTAGAGTTGCTGTGATTTCAGTGGCATAAAAGGAGGTGGTAAAGGCTGCAATGAGCATCAAAAATAGCTCCTGACCCCTGGAAATTTCACACCTCCATTTGTTTATTTGTGACCGAAGTTGAAGAAAGCACGCCCAAAGTTTATGTATGAAAAAGTATGTTAGTGTTCCTTTCATAAAATTGGAAGAAACCTCAAAGACCATCTACTTCAACCCTCTGACAATGTATGACACCAAATGCTAACACATTCCTGATTGGAGTAAGGCCTGTCTGGCCACGTAAAACTGGAGCAACCTATCATTCATCACCTTCCAAGGCAGCCCATTCCATTTTTAAACAGACCATTCATTCAGGAAGTTCTTCCTAGCAGTTAGCTCAAATTCACTTTCCTGTTATGTTGGTCCAGATATTACCCTGTGGAGCAAACTTCTTAATTCTTTTTAATCCATTTATACTCAATATTCGGTTCATCTTTCTCAGTTCATCTTATTTCCTTCTTTTAAACTGCCAACAATTCCTAGATCTTTTTCTCCTATTCACTCTCTTAGATATTTACAAACCGAGAGCCCCAAATTCTGGAAGCATTTCAAAACCCATTGGGCAAGATGCCAACTAAACTAAGAGTGGTTTCAGAGTTGCTCTGGACACAGAGCAGACAGCTACACCATTTACCAGGATGGAAAGTAAAATGTTACCCATGTGCTTTTGTCACACTTCAAGGCATCCTCTCTCAAACTTTTTACCTTGAAGTAACACTTGAAATAATGTTCATGTCTCAGGGAACCCCTGCATTAAAAAAAAGCTACAGAAGTAGTGTGATCCAGATATTTCAGAATGTATAAACCACCAAATCCAGTCAGCAAAGTCAACAGTTAAGGATGATAGAAATTGTAGTCAAAACAGCAAAAGGGCACCAAGTTAGGAAAGAGTGATTTTGCAGCATCTTCCAAAGTCTGTTAAACCCCTCAAATCCAGCCTATGCACAGGTACTGAGAAGTACCACAAAAATTAGTTATTTTACTTTATTAATCAGACATACCATCCTGCCATCCTTTTCATAAGAATTGCTGCACACTTTAAAAGGGGAAAGGCTCCTCTAGCCCAGCCTGATCTGTTTTGATATAGTCCTCTAGCCAGGTGCAAAGGCAGCAGCAGCCTCTTTCATCTCTTTGCCCCAGCACTGCCTCTGCTTATGTAGGCTTCATGGGTTGCCCACCACTTCCTCCTTCTGCTACTCACCATCTGAGGCCCATTTCTCACCCCTTCACCCTCAATGGCTAGCCATTTCTGTATAACAGAAAGAAGATGTGAAACAAGGGCTGTTGCCACTCATTTTATGTCAGGCACATTGAATTGCAACTGCACTGCTCCCTATGAGCCTGAGATGGATATGCTTGCCGCCCTGGCCCCTGCTGTCATGGACAGGGAGTCTCCCTGAGTCCTGCCCCATCTCCTAAAGAAACTGGGGCAAGCAGAAGGGTTCCTCAGGCAATAACGCATTTATGTTTATATTATAAACACACGTGTGAGAATGTGAAAACACTTAAACATGTGCATTTTCTTCATGATCTCTTGTGGGAACTTTAGTGACCTTTCACCAAGCTGTAGTGTCCCTGTCAGCCCGCACTGAAAAAGCTTCCTTAAGGAATTCTCTGAATCACTAAAGAATACACACATTTTTAAAGATTCCAGCTTCAGTACAATAGCTTTAAAAAGCATTATTTGATTTCCCTAGATTTCCATCAGATCCCCACACCAGGGCCATTTTGCTAATTAGGCCAAATTAGACATGATGCTAATTGCTTAAATGAAAAATTTAAAACAGTTCTGTATAAATAGAAACTGAGGGGAAGCCTCAGCAGTTTCAAGATCCTTATGGGTGAAAAGGGGAAATTTAACTCTCTCTCCATGATGGTTCCCAACAAATATCACTACTCTGACACTGCTAATTGCATATCCAGAAAGTGACCTTACCACCTGGCTAATGCATATGTCCAATTGGAACCAAAAGCACCATCTGAAGTTCTGACATCTTAAAATATTAGGTGGCTGGACATATAACTAAAAAAAATTGCCTACACCTTTGCGGTTGCACAATACAAGGTCAGGTCTGTCTTGTTTGGATTAGTTTTGTACCACACACAAGGACTTCAGCTGCATTCAGACAACACTCACTTTCAACCTGAGAATATTCCCTATGGATGTCCCCTATCCATGGATCAGTATTATAAGAACAAACCTTCTGTGACTGCATATTTCAGGGTTTCTTCTGGATGAACAGAAACTAATGAAATACATTCAAAGACATTTGCATAGAGGGGAATATAACAATAACTTTTACTCATGATGCGTGTATTTCTCATGATTTCTATGCTTTCCAATATTTGACTTCCGAGAGAGGAAAACAGTACACTTCGCGGAATATGCCTTTGGCTAACTGCCAGGAACAAATACTGCTACACATCTATGGCTAAAATGTTTCAAGACGTTTGAAGAAAAGGTAAAATGAGGACTGCCTAGCAATGTTAGAAAACAAGACATTCTCACAGGTAAACCCCAAATGTTTAATTAAATCACTAGCAAATAAAATGGAACTACTCCACTTGTCCTAGCCTTTAATATCAGGAAATAAACCAAAAACAGAATCCAGAGCAAGAGTGGACATTTTGCACATTTCCAGATTTTGGGGCTTATGATCTCCTCCCATAAACCCTAGTCAGCATAGCCAACTATAAGGCATGATGGGTGTTTTAGCTTAAAACATTCAGCAGGTCACAAGCCGCCTATGCCTGGTATAGATAAAAGCATCAGTTAAGTTCTCAGCAATGGAAAAGAATAGTCTTTCTCACTCTGCTCCCAAATTATTAGTTCATTTATTTAACACAATTCAGAGAAAATTAAATCCACAGAAGGAGACGGTATTTGAACACATAATTAAATGCTTAGTTCCACTCTCTGTGCTAGGACAATGGTCTCTAGATTCCATTCACTATGACCCAGTTTACCTGCAAAGGGGATCAGGGACTAAATAACTCATAGTCAGCTGTTTCACCACAGCAAGCAAGCACACTTCTTACTTTTATTTCAGATCACCAAGCACTGTACACATACCTTGATCCAAGGTTGCTGTCATGATACACTAACTCAGCACTCCGGGTTAGTATGATGGAGAAACAATCCAGAGTTTTAACCCATGGTTTGATCTTGTGTTACAACTCTGGGTTGTTTCTTCCTTGACAACCCACAGTGCTGGATACAAATGTCATGACAACACCTCAGGAATTGTGATCTGAAAAAAGTGAAAGTGAAAAACATGTGAGAGGCAGACCATAGTTAACTATGTTGTTTTGCCTGTAAGTCAGGTATTATGAAGCAACTAGGTCTGTGTGTTCAGTGCTCCAACTACCCCAGATGTCTTGACATTATATGTTCCTAGCTCTAGTCCTAGTCAAATCTTTTTCAGGTAAAAAGATGTATTCATTTTCTACCAGCAATTCATAGTGGATGTGTGAGAGTTGCAGTTTCCCCACTTCTTCAGAAGCCATTTCAAACCAAAGATGTTACATAGCTTTACTTACCGAAGTTACATTTTACAAAGCAGTGAATAAACTTGATTGATACTAAAAGAAACTTACCTGCAACAGTAGCTGAAGTCACATTCCGTTTCAACATATCATAAATAGGGCTGTGGAAAAGTAGTGACCAGTGAGAGCAGAACAGACTACCACAAGGAACAATGTATTATTATATTTTATCTGTTGATTGTGAACCACCCAGAATGCTTTGGCTATTGGGCGGTACAGAAACAACAGCATCTCCTAAACTTCAGGCATTATTCAGGACAAGATATCAAGGACTATGTAAAGTTCTGGAATAATCACATTTGCGTTGAGAGGCCTCCAGCTGAAGGGCAATTAGGCTCCTAGCGCATTTTGGTTCTGCATCCTTTTTATAAAGATTTTTCAACAAATTGAGATTGTTATCAGAATCTTTTAATAGGGCTGGGGAGATTCCAGGGTCACACTGTTCCCTCCCAAACCTACTGAGGGCCACCTTCATTATGTATCCCTACACTTCTTGTTTCCTTGCTAAATCAACATGGATTTTGTTGTGATCACCACAGCAGCAACAGAGGACAACTCAAGGGAAGGCATGTGTTGCCCACTCCTGTTTTATAATATCCCTCTATCTCTACCCACAGCACTCAAAACTTGTAATATGGAGATAAGGAACACTGATTAAAAAGATTCCAATAATTGTTTACTAATGTTCACCACTTAATTCCACTTCCAAAGTCAGCTGCACTCTATGGGTGAACTTTGGCAAACAGTGGAAGACAGGAGAGCTATAGTCCATGAAGCTGCTAAGAGTCGGGCATGACTTTGTGACTAAACAAAGGAAGCATACGGAAAAATAAAATACTGTGTCATCATGGTTAGTGTGTTGGACTGGAACTCAGGGGACCTAAGTTCTAGTCCTCACTCAACCATGAAATGCACTGGATGACTTTGAGCCGGTTAGTGACTCTTGGCCTAACCTAATTTACAGAGTTGTTGTGAGGTTAGAACAGAGGGGAAGGCGGCTATATAAACTACCATGGGTTCCCTGCAGAAGAAAAAAAGCCAGGATATGAATATAAGAAGCATTTTTTAAAATGCCACTAGGTTCTAACACAATTTTTACAAAGCCTCATTTCTCTTGAATAGGTTCAATGATGTCTAGCCTTTCACCATAGGAAGAACTTAATACTGCAACATATAAGGAATCATGTACAGAAAAATTCAATTATATGTTTTTATCTCCAATGTGGGCATTCTAGGACTTGATAATGGTGGGTATGACAAATCATTTGCAACAGAATTCTTGTCCATACCATCCGGACTGAAAGAAAATTAAAACTAGGCCCCTTGGTCAGACACTTAAACTGGATGTGAAGACTTTGTTTTCAGGAAGTACTTTGCCCTTTCACAAGAGCCAGATACAAAACAGTAGCTCAGAAAAGTAGATACTGAGTTCTAACAAGTTGCTTCTAAGTATATACACAAGCCAGAAATTTGTTTTTACCATCAGAACTGGAAAGAACAAATCTGTTTCCTCTTAAACTCTTGATTTTAACAGTGTAATTTAGAAAAGGCTACTTGTTTTGACTACTAGGGGTTGGAAATCTTAAATTTATGATCTACCACAAATCACCTAGAAATCTGTCAGCAGATCCCCACTTACCTTCTGCCTAACCATGGTTAAATCATGGAAATCTTACTTTGTATATCCTTAAGAGGCTTCTTACCTTGGGTCTTTCACAGAGAAGCTTTCACGACCCAGAAGATCACCCAGTTGGTCTCCGCCACAATACACCATGTGCTGCTGCTCTTTATCATACAACTGCTTCAGCATGATATACTCTCCAAGATAATGTATAATCTAGATCGATAAAAGACAGCTTCAGTTAAAACTAGTCTGCAGCAAATAACGAATACTGTTTTCTTCTTCAATTATTCCAATAATTGTCAGTGATTTTTTTTATCCTCTTATTCTGGCTAACAGTATTCTGTATCAATTCTGCTTTAATTCTATACAGTTTCCATCCCTAATACATTTCTTTCATGAATTAATGTTTGCTATGCCCTTGGTATCCCCTTGAATATATGTGAAAACTGGGAGACAAAGAGACTTGATACTACCATTTCCTGTAAGCCAGTAGTAGTCTACCACAAATAACAAATTACATGTTAAAGTACAAAGAGTTAAGTGAAACTTGCAGCAAAATACTGTGGTATATTATCATGTCCTAAGAGTAGTCTTCCAGCTCATATTCCTGATAGCCTGGAACAGAAGAGCCTTGTGAAGCTGTCCAGGCTTTGAAGCAGGGCATGGGTCAAGGATAAATCTTTCCCATTCCTTCATTTGCAACCAAATCTGGAGATAGATGTGTTTTTCATCTCCCTAGCCCTATTTCTCTACTTTTAACAGGATGCTACTATAACCTCTCAAAGGGATAAGCACTCCTCTGCCCTGCATTTTCCTCCTCCCTCCCCACTCTGTCACAGAAACAACTCACACCCACCAATATAGTAGACTGACACAGTCTTCAAATCTTTCTCCTACACCCCTGTGCCCTACTAGTAGGCTCCACTGCCTTCAATATTCTAAGTTCATATATTGTTGCGCAGGATGGGGGGAGTTTGTGGGGGAGATGATTAATATGCCATTTTCTTACATTCACAAACATGCTATCTTCCATACATATAAGGTCTCTGATTATACAAAAGGTACCATCTAGTTTTTGGGTGGCCTCATTTCATTTTTCAACCAACAAAGTAGAACATATTGCTTTGAAATCTGTAGATGTAAACAGTTTAGAAATACTGGTAAATAAAAAGGAACACTGTTTAGGTCAACTATTTATGAGAAGGACTAAAACCTGAACATTCAGCTGCTGAGGTACTGAAAGAACTGAAGGACAGAGGGTTTTTTTTTTAAATCAAGCTTTAAAATTTCCTGAGAAGTGAACACTGATTTACTGCTTTTGTTTTACTGAACCCTTTATGCTAAGTGCCTTAAAATCATTCTCATATATCCTAATTTTATCAATCTGCAATGTGAGAATGGAGGCTAGAAGACACTGACATGGTTTTCTCCCATGAAAATACACACCTGGCTATACAACATCCAAAGGTTAATTGTGGGTTCACATCATGAGAAGGCAAAATTCCCTGAAGATAATCATGCTAGGGAAAGTAGAAGGCAGAAGAAAAGGAAAACCAAATATGAGATAGATTGACTCCATAAAAGAAGTCATTGCCTTCAATTTATAGGAGCTAAACAAGGCTATCATAAATAGAGTATTTTAACAGTGCTTTCATACATAGGGCCACCATAAGTCAGAAACAGCTTGACAGCACAGAACAGCAAGTTGTGGGTTAAACAATTAGTAGTTAAGCTATCCGTTGGTTGTTTAACCCATGTTTCACCTGCAGCATCTAGGTTTGGCTGTCATGTAGCAACCACTGACTGGGGGCTGAATATTCAAAAAGACCACACAATGTTCCATAGCACACTGGTCATTTATTAATTGTGAGCTTGAGTGGACTCCGGGGGATGGTGGAGGACTGGAAGGCCTGGAGGAATGTTGTCCATGGGGTCACGATGGGTCGGACACGACTTTGCGACCAACAACAACATTTATTAATGCAGTCATTACCACTACTGCATGCAAAAAACCCAACAATTTAAAATTCTAATAGCCTTATAACCCATTGTCTTAGTTTTTATTCAATGTCTAACCAGTATAACCCCAGTGGCTGGACTAACAGATCAATATACAGGAATTTTACATACGAAGCCCACAGCTATCAAAGATCATACTATAAACACAGATTTGGATCTTTAACCCTTTGAAAAGTCAGTTTTTATCTGTGACTTACAGATTAAAAAGAAATGCCCTTAGTACAGAAGAAATATGTAACCTATATTTAGCAGCGTATGTTCATGGTGCTTTCAGTGTGTTAGGTGAATAAAAATACTGTGTATATGTATCATATGTATTGTAATTGAAGTCACGAGTGTTGAATATGTATTCCACTATAAAGATATTCACCAATAACCCATTCCAAAGTTTACTTCTATACCACCCAATAGCCAATGCTCTCTGGGTGGTTCACAACCACTTGTCCACAAGTCTTCCATCCAAGCACTGCTTGAGGCCACAGTCATTTTATTTTTAGCAACTGACTCATACTGTATGCCTTTAAGCACAGTCATGGTAAAAATGGACTTAATATGTAGGTCAAATAATTCAATTCACATAGAATGTACACTCAGAATATCAATATGCAGCAAATCACTATCTGTACTAAGAAAGTTCATATTAAGCATAAACTTCATGAACTGCTTGATTGCAGTGTCACTGCCTCAAGTGCACTCCAGATCCAATCAACTACAAGTGGCACAGTCACATCCTACTATATAACAGGTAAGTGAAGCCCATCTTTCAAGCAATACGTTAAGCATAAAATCTGGCTTCCCCTTCTATAAAAAAGGTTCACCTGGAGATAAACACAAAATGAAAAATTGGTAGGGCTGCTTCCACCCACTGCAGGGGGAACATGTTCTTACTGTTCTAAATGTAAGCTCCTATGGCAAATTAACATTTTACACTGAACCTTTTCATTGAAAGTATTTAATTTGCTTTTGCAAAAATATTAGAGGTTAAACAAGTTATTTAAATGCATAAGTGTTTAAAATAAGTCACATAGCTCTGCAGGACTATCTGACACATTCCTAATGAAAAACCACTGCATTTAATTCCTAGCTGACAGGATACCACTGTAAATCACAGCTAGTGTCATTTTTCTAATCTTGTACACACTTTGCATTCTAATCTTAAAATAAATGATTTGGAAGGTAACTTGGGTTTAGCTGACAAGACATTCCCAAGAAAAGAAAAAGAAATTAAAAAGTCTAATTTTAAAACTTTCATGCATCAATTGGCAACAAGAAAAAGCATCTCTTAGTGGTCCCTCAGGAATACAGTCACCTACTGTAATTTTCTAGACACTCTTAAAATGACTTCTGATACTCCTGAACTATTTCTAGTATTTGTATTCAACACTTATTGTACTCTTGTAGCAACTGCTACAGAATGCTCCTAAAAGCTCCACATTTTCCTTTCTATTTTGAATGATCACAATCATTTGCTCTTATTCTGGAAGCACTTCAACTTAGCTTCGTCACAACAGCAAGCTGGAAGAAAACCTCTTCTGCTTGGAATGCTAGGGATACAGACTTCGTTTAAACTATATGGCTCCTTACCCTTAGTTACAAACAAATAAAATCAAGGCCCCTCTTACACACTGCAGGAGGCAGCAAGTATTAATATGTATCTTTTTTTCTTAATTTGTGAAACACTTTTGGAACCCATTTGGGTCAAAAAGGCTGAATGGATGAAACAAGGCAATCATTAATCCCACCTCCCCTACACAGCAGAGAATGCATATCAACTCACCTCCTTTAGTGTGAAAGTTTCCCCTTGAGCACCTGCAGCTTGCAAAATCTTCAGAAGTTGTAGCTTTGGTCGTACCTAAGATACACAATTATTTAAAACCCATGTTACAGATTTAATACTGTAGTTATCTTACAAAAGGTTTGCATAGCGTACACGAAACAAAAACCAAATGCCTCATGCAAACCTCAACCACAATACTACCAACTGTGTTTCTAGGCTGGACTACATGAACACTGTGATTCCAATGCCTCAGTGATCCTGAGACTGATTTACTTTTTGAAGTGACATGGCAACAGGCTTCTTCTGCATTGGTACCCTTCCCCCTGGTCATGATTTGTTTTGTATTATAGTGTACTTGTATAATTCTATTGCTTTATAGTGGTGTAAGGTATTTTGAGATTTCTGCAAAAGAGAAGCAATGCAAAGATACTGTGAATGAATAAGCCAATCAATACAAACTTTCCCCAACTACACTGGAACAAATAATTTCACTGAGACAATGCAATTCAAAAGTAATTCTTGACTTGATATTGAATATTGGACCTACATATAAAGAGAAGCAACCAGCATAAAGATAATCCTACTTCTTTTCTCTCTCATGTTTATAAAAACCAATTAGGGTGATAATAGTGCTTCAGCAACTCCAGGTGAAACACCATTCAAGAGCAAAGCAAATTGCACTTGTAATTCCAGAAACAACTTTATAAAGCAGAAAAAAATGAGATCTGAAAAGAACTGTCAGAAAACGGAGCTTTCTAAACCGGACTAATTATTTTTCCTCACAGAAATAAGCCAGAAGGAACAATTTATGCCAGGTTAACATCATTTACATAATACGGGGCACCATTCTGCATCTCAATTAAGGGTCCCAGCCATGCTGGGCAAGAAATCGCATGTAGGATTAATAGCCAACTTCTACCTGTGGTTATTGACTCTTGCCCTCCTGCCTGATATGGCACATATGCAGAGATATTGAAGAGCAGAATGCTCTAACCTTGCACTGGACTTTTGTTTTAGGCAGCAAAGGGCTATTTCTGAAAAAGCCCAAAGGCAGGCAAGATACTTCTGGAACATGCTCATTGTAGTTCAGAAAATTCAGGAGGAAGGAATCTGTGTATGAGGGGACAGGAGTGGTTGTCAGTAAAAAGTGAGACATTTGCAAGACATTTGTTTTGAGACAGAGTTGAAGAGATACAGCATGGAAAAAACATTTTTCTGTATGTTAGTTCTTTGATACCAGGGTATGCACACTAAGGGCAAAATGTAAATAACAAATGGTCAACCTGCAGCATTGACGTAAAAAAATGGCACAGGAACAAAGATCTGCAGCATCCTGAAACAACAAGGTCCATGATCCCCCTTAAACAATAGAAATTCAGAGGATAGATTTGGGAAAGAAACAAACTGCAGTATTGTTCAGGATGAGTGGGCAGTGGCAGGAACAAAAGCTGACATGGTCAAGTCATTCCAGGCCAACCACCTAAACTTATAGTTCATCATCAGGCTGAAGAGCCTGCTGTTGTAGGCAATGATTACATACTCATCTTCCTTCTGTCTGTGGAATTACTCTGTTTTGTCAGGAGTACCCAGTACCCAGACAGGTATATTCTATTCTACACTATCCCTCTTTGACCCTGGATTCTGTTTAAAAATAATTATCCCCCAGTATGCCCTTCTCTCTGAATGCACCATCTTTTACAAATGAATGTTCTTCCTATTTATTCCAGAACAGCCTTCCCAAATCTGGAGCCCCAGGATGTGTTGGATTACATCTCATTATTCCAAGCTAGATGTTTCGACATCTAGGAGGATGCCACCTTGGGAAAGATGTTTTTGAGAAATCAAGCCCATGGGAAACATCCAATTTCCTGTTTGCTTTCCAGTCTGTTTCCACAAGATATAAACTTAAATTTCAATGCCTGCAGTACTCCAATACAATCCTCTTCCATAATCAATTAACTGAATTACAGCCCCCAAAGTCTAGGGCCACAGTCACATAGATGGATTTCAAGCCAAGTCACCTAAATTCATTCCAGCTGTTTCACTGGAACTCTTAAGTCCTCTTGATATAACCAAATTGGAAATAAAGACTTTCCTTCTTATATTCCTATACAACCCACCCAACAACCAAAGCTCTCTGGGAAGTTACCTTGTTCTCAGCATTGACAGCAAATATTCAGTTCAACTCAAATATCTTATTTATAATTATTTCTAAAGCAAGCTGAAAAATTACTTATGTTTATTACATGGGGTCTAATAGATTAACTCCTGTGCAGAGATCAATTAGAAAGAAGTTTACCAACTCCTTCCTTCTTGACTAGCCAATCTGTTGACCATGCTTGTCTTTCTGGCTTCTGTCCAAATCATCCCATCAGACTTCTACCTCTCTGGGGTGATATGATAAGGTGCCGTTGCACTTTCTAGCATGTTACTATGTCCGGTATGTTCCTGCAGTGCTCCTCTAGTCACTGCCTATTTAACTATGGCCAAGCATTGTTAAATATTCCATGAAGTCAACAATGCCCTTTTGTCAATGTAAGCCTTCATTTTCATTGCATTATTGCTGTAGATTTGGCCTTAGTTTCAGAACCAAGACTTAATTGGCTTCAATATACCCTGATCAGTAACTAGGCCAAGCTTAACCAGACAAACATCACCACTGGCTCAAAAACTAAGTGAACTGTGTTAAATGTTATAGCTATGAAAATCTAGTAGCTAGCAAAACACAAACCTAACTGAAAAGCCTTGCAAGGGTCAAAACAGGCTATCTGGAGAACAAGTTACCCACTACAACCTTAATACAACCCATAGATTCTCAGAGTGACTTGTTTATAGCAATCAGTTCAGATAATTTGATAAGCCATGCTGCCAACAAGGCTCATGACCTGTGGCTTACCATGACATGTGAACCTAGTAAATGCAGCAATGGTGGGTCCAGCATATGAACAAACATGGGGTCTGAAGTTCACTTAGAAAGTAAACCCATATAAATGCCAAGTCTCTGTCTCTAAAACAGTCCCATCTACCAAACATATGCAAAGGAATGCTTTCCGTATCATTTTCTTGGTAGAGAGGCAAGGTACAGATCAAATAAATTAACTGTTTAGGGTCAGGGTGGACAATTGTGAGAACCATTTCTACCCCCAGGACCCTGCCCTCCATAGGACACACTCCCTCTCCCTACCAATTGGCAGCTTGCTACCAAAATTCAACAGCAAACTACTCTGCAGGACTCCATAAAAACTATTGGCTACATTAAAAAAAACTGTTCCTGCCCAGTGAGGGCCACACCAAGGAAGGTGCATGCAGCCAACAGGTTGCCTACATTTGTCTTATAAGATCCAACATACATAAGAGAAATCTTACACACTTTCAGAACAAAGAACTTCACAGAAATGTACAGATCATATTTTCTTGCATGATCACAAATAATTTACATTACTAAAAGAAACTTCAAACTGCAAATCGCTTACTTCTAATTTCCAGTGGAATAGCAAAAATCCCTAGTCTTGAGTCATTTTGAAAACTGAGTCATTTATTATAGAATAAACTCCCATGCATTAAAGTCTACTTCAGCAAATGAAAACTGTATTGCATTTTAACACACAGTTCAGTTCTATCATTTGTAGCCCAATTGGTTACAGGTTTATCGTATTACTAGCAGGAATTAGCTCAGTAGTACAGGGCAAATGCTTCAGAAAGGGAGCATCACTGTGGTAGGATACTGTGTTGTTTTAAAATGCATATTACACAATTCCTAGCTAAATCAATTATATTTGGCATCCAATAAAAATGCAACTTTTTGAATAGTTACTTTGATTATCTTACAAGAATATATTCTTTAAACTTAACCTAGTCCATCAACACTTATAGTACAATAAATGTTAGTCTTTAAGGTGCCAGAAAGGACCAAGTTATAGCCAAGCTACCTGAGTCAACGGATAACCTTTACTGGTATATCATTACATTCTATTAGACTGTCTTGCTATCAGACACTCTGCAAAATCAAGTTACCTGTTTGATTGGTTCTAGTGATGTTCTACAGGCATTCTCAGATGATGAATATTGTGCAGAGGAGGAAGATGACATTTTGGCAGTGAAGTAGCTGGCTGCAGTACAAACCTAAAACAGAAATATTAAACAATTAGTTTGAAAGAGAACACAAAAAAAAAAAAAGTACGCCAGGACTATGTCTGCTTTTCAGAATTCATAGAAAGCCATTTGACACCAAGACAAATACTAGAATCCTAAGCAAAACTCTTGAATGGCTTCTTATGTGTCTTCACATACCACACAAAGAGCATCTCATCACCTTTCTAATTTAGTAGCCCAGTTCAAAGTTCCTAGTCATTTTAAAAACCTACAGTTCCTAGTTTTACATCTCTCAATGAGTTTTTTTAAAGTGTGAAAGATCTATGTCAAAATACCTTCTCTAAACTGTAGCCCCAAATACAGTATGCTCCTCTGTTCCTTTGAGCCCAAGGAGAACCAAGTCCCCTGTGACATGTTGAGACAAGTACTCCAAACTAATAGTTTGTAGAGTCATTGGAGCATTTGAAGCTGAGTCATTCACTATCACCCTCATGGAAATTGCCAGCAATGGTTAATTAGTCAGCAAGCAAAGGTTGGGTAAGAAGTACTCCAAGCTTATGACAAATTGCAGTTTATGGTACAATATGTTTTAGTTCTTAAGGTGCCACCATAAGTAGTTTGAGCCCTGAGCATCTCCCAATATTGCCATGTTGCCAGTGTTCCTTGCCTACAATCTGGCATGCATTTGTGTTCTCTAGCGAGTAAGGCTAGTACAAATGAGCTAACAGAGTTTTGTGCTACCTTAAAACTGAAATCTGATTAGAAGATTTTTATATCATGCAGCCAGGGAGTTTCAGTGATGGGTGTCTTTATGTTATATGCATATTCACTCAGAAGTTGGTCCCACAAGGAGTCTGAACTCCTATTGTTAGATTGGAAACTGGTTTTTATTGGATTAGCAGTTCTGTTACCAAAAGGGCAAGTTGGTAAAATATATACTCGAATTTAATTTTGTAAAATATACTCTTGTTTTTTGCATAGATAGGACTTCCATAGCAGGACTTTTTTCACATTTTATCCCACTGCAGAAAAATGCATCTCATTTACTACTGTACTTCTACTTTGTCAATAAGATTCCAATTTAGGGATGGACAAGAGCAAATGAAGTAAAATTATACCTTTAAAAAGTAGTGCTTAATTATTTTTCCACATATTTTTCCTAAATGGAAAAGAGGAGTGGTTTAAAATGCCTTATTTCTAACCTACAAAATGCTAGCTTGATTCTTTAGTGTAATCTGTGCTTACAAGAGTTCCTGAATATTTAAAGTATGCCAACATATGGCAAGAAATATCTCCAGGCAGCAAGCTATAATTTTACTATGGACTCACAGTACACAGATTAACTGCAGATACTATACTGAACTTTGGTCACACAGCAACCAACCATATGCCCACAGGAAGCCAATGATCAGGACAGGTGCATAACACCATCCTCCCATTCATGTTCTCAGCAACCTACACACAGGGACATGCATCTATTCACAAATCATAGTCTGAGACACTGCCCCACCCTGAGGACAACAGTGTAAAACTGCATTTAAGGATTTTCAGAGAACATGGGGGGAAAACCAGGAAATGTATACATGTAAACACAATCATGAGAATGCCTGTCAGACTGGAATATGGTTCTGAGTCCACAGCACAAACCCTGATTCGGTGTTACATCTCAACCAAACCAAAATTTTAAACCTCAAAACTATGATTTGAATATTTTGTTACTTTAATTACTCACTCAAGAAAAAAATCTGCTTACATGATCAAAACAGTCAGCTATAGCATTTGCCAGGAGGTATTTGCATGCTTGCCACCCAGCCACAGTTTGTTGTATTGTACAAACTGTACTGTGCACAGTTTGTCATGCTGTTCAATTATATAGCAGACCATGGATTATGTGAGAATTATTTAACCTATGTATACTCCATGGTTTCCAGATCGGTACAACACAAGCTGCAGTCAGGCATTCAATATTCATAACAGTGACATATATGCCACTGCTTAAATGATCAAACCATACACTGTGATCTATACAAACTAGCCCAAACTGTCTGACATTCACGGTCCACAATACTACATTCACTTATTCCAAAAGGACTTAAAGGATAAGGCTATAAATTAGTACCTCTATGCTTCGTTCCTAATATCAGAGACAGTATAATTCCGTGAACCAATTACTAGGAAGCAGAAGGGTGCTATTTGCATCCATTTCCTCTTATATTGTCATGACTCTGTTCAGAAGCCTGTTTCAACAGAACATAGAAGTAAACCCACTGACATCTGTATAACTTTAGAAGAAAGGTGTATTAACCATGCTTTGCTATGAATTCTCAAATACAACATGTTATCACTAGTTGACTTGGGAAACAAGAATGCTGACAACCATGATATACTTTGTTTTGAGAGGAAGGTGGGCAAACCTACTTAAAGGTAGATTTAAGAAAACTGACAAGCATGCATCACTCTGTGTAGACATTTATGCACTGCTTTTGGTATTAGATTATGCATGTGTGTATATACACAGAGAGAGAGAGAGCGCACATGCACATGTTATTTCCCTTTATATCCTGACATTTTTCTTCAAGGAATCTAAGTCAGCTTACATGATCCTCCTCCAATCAATTTTCATTCTAACAGCAACTCGGAAGTAGTTTAGGCTGAGAGTCATTAACTGGCTCAAGGTGACCCAGTGAGTTTCATGGCCGGGTGGGAACTAGAACCTAGCTGTCCAGAATGCCAGTCCAACACTCAAAACACTATGCCACTCTCTCATACAATGGCAATACAAGTTTCAGTATGACTTCCTTTGGAAGAAGTATGTTTGTCTTAAATTCGTCTAGAACTCTCCAGATAATGCAGATCATAACTGCAGTCAGACAATATTAGTGACTACAATGAATACGGGGAGAGGGACACATGTACAGAGACTGCAGTGTTGCTGCAGACTGGCACTATCAACAAGTAATCATTTGAACTGTATCATGCAGGACATTTTAAAGGGAACCTTGGCATGAATAGCACTGCTTTGGCTAAATAAGACTCCATATTTGAAGAACTAAATTTGTGCACAAAGCTTCATTCTTAGCTGTTCACATTTTAAAACATTACTAATTCTTAGAAAATTCTGCTTTGCTTTTAAGGTCTACTTAAAATTGCTACCCAGGCCAACTAAACCAGAGGTTGAGTCCTCATGCATCAGCTTCCATTGCAGTTTCACATCTTAACTTTCCCTCTGTCTTCAACACAACTCTTCCACACTGTCATACCTTTTGTTTTAAGCAATAACCTAGTTAGAATATTGGTCACTTTAAAAAGTTCAAACATTTTAAAAGTTCAAGTCGTTTTTAAAGTTCAAACCCAAATAAAGCTACTGTGGGCAAGACTCACAGTCTTCTAAAAATGACAAACTTACACTGCTTTTTAAATTTTTGCTGGGAAATAGCAAAGTCCATGACACATGCATGAAGCACAACTCTATGCACCTAACATGATCAAAGGCAACATACTTTTTGAATAAAGTACCTTAAATTTGATTAACTTTATTTTGATAATACATCCAAGCTTCTAGTTTTAGTTCCTCAGAAAGAGAACTAAGCAGGAATCTCAATACAGTCATTTAAAAGCAAAGACTTCTAATTTGCTTTGCAGTCTAATTAACAATTACTTCAAGGATCCCAGTAATGGCTTCCATTACTGCAATATTCCTATACATTGCAGTATAGCAATATTCCTATACAATGGCATTCAGTTACCTATCAACTCACCTTAGAAGTTCTTTCTCCCTTAAAAAAGGCGTTCACAGAAGTCCACTGTAACCCACACCGTTTCTTTAGCCACCAGGATTCCCTTCTCCAAACCTGAGTACGTGTCTTTTCGCACAGCCGAGAACATCCAACGCACCTTGCTACTATCACAGATTTGCACACCACCACAAAGCAAAGAATCTTACAAATGTTTCTGCCAAGTGTTCATGCACTTGCTTCTACAAGGAATTTAGCATCTCGAGTTACTAACTGCCCAGAAAAGCGAGGGAAAGAAGCCAGGCTGTTCTGTTCTCGCCCCTTAAACAGCTGTTTGTTCCACATGCAAAAAATAAAAAATAAAAATCAGCAAATAAGACATTTCACAACAGAAAGGTAACACATCAAAGGGCTTTTATTCCGGTCAACTCAAAACCCCAGAATCAGACTTCCCTCGAGCTTTCTTCCTCTTCCTCCATACCCACCAAACTGTTCTGCCAACTAAAAAAGCTCTTTATGCGACCAATTCCTCATTCCTCTCTTTGACTTACACGTAACAAAACTGTTCCACCGTTCTTTTCATCTCTCAGTAGCTGCGCTGATACCCCCTTTAGCCTCTCTCAGGAAAAACTCACAGGACTCAAGTTCCCCTCAACAACCAAGAACTCACCCTAAAGTCGCTCCATGACTCCGCAGTAATTCTTATTCAAGGGGGAGGAAAACGGGACTTTTTACCATACCCGCCGCCTGTTCGCCGCCTCCATTTTAGCAACGGGAGCGGGCCACCAGGCCTGCTCTTCCCGTCAGTTAACATGGATACCCCCAGACTTCCGCCGAAACCATAGACATAGAAAACCAACTTCCGGTCAGACAACTATGCAATCTGAACTTCCGGTATTAAACAAGTAAAATAAAATCCTCAGTTTCTACATCCGCTCTCTGCTCGAGAGAGATAAAATATAGACATGTTTTCAGAAAGTTCTAGCGTGGAAAGCCCTCCATAGAGACAAGAATCTCAGCCGCGACAGAAAAACTTCGGGGATTAAAAAAAAAAAAAGAGACAGAAACATGATCGAGGGCACTTTTACATACGAATCCTTCTCATCAGAGGCATAAAGTACCATCCCGAGTTGCGGCATGAGCGCGCGCGCGCGCACGGTGTGCGGAGAGCATTGCAAGCAATGAGGTCGGAAGAAACTCAGATGCTACGAATACGGCAGTTCAAATTGCCTCATTGAAAATGACCATTCCCAAAACAGTTTCAGGGGTTAACATGGGCTGCTCGCATTGGTGCGCTGATGAACATACGTGATGTGATTTACAAACAATTGTTCCGCTCAAGTCACAGCAGGAATAGTTGAACGTGTTGATGAACTGAAGTCCAGCTGTTCTCTGTTGAACTCTGCTTTGTTCCTTTGTTCGTAAATAGCTATTTTAAGGTCACTAATAGCGCGTCCTGGAAGATTACAGAGCTCTTTGGTTTCTGCCTATAACTATTTCTGTGTCAGGGTTTGTCATTTTATTCTTTGATACAAAGTTTGATCTGTTTGCCTTGCATAGTCAAAAATGATATTGTAATTTACAGTTAAAGCATATTCCTGTAAATGTTTAGTGAGCCTTTTGTATAAAATGTTGGCTTTAGTATTTTTCCTTAGCCTTTTGAAGATTTATCCAATGTTTGCTTTTCATTTTCCTTGCAACCTTTCTTTGTTTGATTGCATGATCATTCAAAATGACCAGAGGTTGCCTGATTAGGAACCATATCTGGGCTGTGCTGGAAACAATCATCAAGTGAAGGTCACCTTTATCAGCAGAACTGATGTGAAATAGCAAACCTGCAGCCTGGCAGGGGGTGCCTACACTGTTTGGTTTCACCTGTGCTCTAATTGTATTTTTGTAAACAACCTCAGTAATACAAAAACACTCTGTACCTCCATTGAGTTCTCTTCCAAAAAAAAACTAAAAGCCAGTCCGATGAAGTGGGCTCTAGACCTGAAAAAAGGGCCACAATAAATGTGTTAGGTCACAATATTATGCACATTTCAACTAAAAAAAAGACTTACAATTCCCAGTATTTCCTGTCAGACTAGCCATACTTCTTCCATTGAGTAGCAGTTTTGCAAAACACTTCCTTGTAACTTTTTTTCCTAGAAATGAGCTATGACACACACACATATATATATGCCATATTTACTCAATTCTGAGGCTAGAGACTTGTTTTCAGCAACAGTGCTAATTGGCACTCCCATTTAATTCCACAAAAAAATCGATGTGTTTCTTAATTCTAGCATCATAATTTCATATGGGGGCAGGTCATTTTGTTCCTGCTATTGTTAGCAACTAGACCCTGGGTGCTATTGCTTCTTTAATGCAAATTATGCAGCAATTTACCCAAAGGTGTGCCCCCCCCAGAGATCAAAGATAACTGCACTGGTCCATTAGAAAAAGAAAAAAATCCAAACCCACATTTTGGCAATAGCTTTATTAGGAACCACCAAAATACTACCAAATGTGCAAGCCTGGTGAAGAGGTCTGCAAATAGTTCTATGGAGTGTCAGTTGGCCTAAACAGAAATATCGGCCAACTAAAGGATTCTGTTCCACCAACCAATAAAGCCTACGGAGTGAGTGATCAAACACATGTTCTGGGCTCAAAGAGCTGATTATTTCAAAGGTCTAAAGACACCTCCACCCCAGGCTTCGCCCAAGCCATTTTTCTGCCTGAGCTGGTGCTCCCTCTCCATTTAGCATACAAAACCCAGCTGAATTGGCAGATGATTCTTAATTCAACACGGATGGTAACATGGCATTCTCCAAAGCATGCGAGGCAACAGGCTAGCTTAGCGGGGCCTGGGTAAGCAGTGTGGCATAAACTCAGGAGAAAAAGCCGCTGCACCCAAGCATGCATGACTCAAGCGGCTGCTTGACTCTGCTTAACGGAACGGCTGTCTGGGCCACAGCGCAGTTTTGTTTTATGAAAAAGGAATGCCACTGATCGCTCCGCCCAGCCGATGGAGGAGTCCCACTGGAACCGGAAGTGTTGGCTGTGAGGAACTCGCACTGGTTTTCATCTCTCTTCACCTGTTGAAAAACTTGCTCCTCCGAGCGCAGCGGTGTTACGACAGAGTCTCGCGCAGGGGGACTGCGCAAAGAACGTTCTGTGCGAGCCGCGCGCGGAGCGAATCAACGGGGCCGTGGCTTGGCTTGCGCACGCCGTCCATGCATCACGGCCCTCGCTCCATGACCTTGCGAAGCGGAATGCTACCGCTGTTCCTCCGGCGCGCGCAGATTGCCTGGGACTTTGCTCACTTGCTCAGATCTTGGGAGCGCCGGCTGCACGCT